CTGGCAGGACAATAGAACTATGATATCCCGAGTATCGCAGGAGGAAGCAGAACCAGATCTAGGGCCCTGCAGAAGATTGTAATATAGGGGCCTAAATAATTGCCAATATTATGCTTCCATATCCTTGTTGAATTATGGTCTATGTTACCTCAAATGGACCTCAATATAATATTGGTAGTTTTTTAGGCCCCTGTAGTACTGGATTTGTTTCTGCTTCTGCAAGCTTTTCGGCCCTCAACCTGGTTAGGCAAACATCCAAGTTATAAACAGGATAGGGTTTAGGGTTAAGGGTTTAGCGTTATATCCCGCTATCGTTACTGTTTTTGATAACCCTTCGTTGCGGAACATACCTACCTAATTCCCAACCCTGGCTTGCAGGTGCCGTACTTCGAAAGCGCTACACAGGCGTGGTGCTGAAGCCAAGGTACTTGCCCTGAGGGTCCAAGTACCTAATAGTCATATACTTACCCAAAACCTGTATCATAATTACTATTAGCCAAAACCCAAGTACCTAATTATTAGGTACATGGACCCTTCGGGTTTAGGATTTCAAGGGTATTCAGGGTTCGATGTATATGCCCTTGGAGGACCCCCCACCCTGTAATAGTGGTAGAATAGGAATATAAGAGGACCCTAACATGATCCTTATTATCCCTTATAGTCACTCTTACCGGGTGGGGGGTACACCTAATATATGCCCAGGATGGCAAGGCGGAGTTGCCACCCAGCTCCTCAATCCCTAGGGGCCTATATGATCTGTAGTCTAAACTCCTTCAAAGGGGGATTATATTGGGGACTACTATAGGGGGTATTAAGGGGGATACTAGGAGTTTAGATTATGGCTCATATGGGGTTTGCAGAAGTTAGGAGTCTATTTCTGGAGGTCCCTTTAAGAAGGATTGTAGCGCTTGGGGGTCTGCATTCGTGTGCCCCCGCTTTTTGCGAACTTCCATATCCTAGACTCTCATTGGGATAATTGTATATTGGGGTTGTATACGGGAAACGGAAAATGAGATTGAAACTACGGGGGTTATTGGGCTTATATACAGTTCTCCTTATTGCAGGCCCTGGTGGCCTCTTCGAGCGTGACGCGAAGGTGGATGGCCGTGCCATCGCAGTGTACCCTCCCACCCAGATTTTAGGGCCCCAATACCATTAATATTAGAGTACTTGGGCCCTAACACCCTATTGTTTGGGTTTTTGGACCCTTAGGGCTCCAGCTGCTGCGAGATCGACCAAAATCATTCAATATGGTTATCGACCAACTATAGGATTCAGGGTTATTTCCCTAACAATGGAAAATCAAATGGAAAAGAACATGAAACATGAAATAGAAATTGGGATTATACAGGGGTATGTAGGGTTTAGGGTCAACAAGGACGCTCAGCAAATCATAGCAGAATGCATCCCGAGGCTCGATTTTAGTTGCCCGGGCTCCCGCATAACGGACACTAGATATCCTGCATGACACTAAGTAGATTATACCGTGAAAAGTAAGGTGGTCTCCATAAATCGTGGAACACATGTACACCCCAACATACGTTAATCCTTATCATGGGGACAGCCCCCTACTTTTTGGAAGCCCAATGAACCCTACAAGGTATCCCTATACAAGCCCTATGTATCCTGCATAACTCCTTTAAAGGTACCTGTAAGTTTGGGGAACCTTGCCATTTCCCCTGACAGTCCAAGGACCCAAATAATAAGGCTTTAGGACCCAAATGCCATTAACATTGTAGTAGTTGGGCCCAAAAAACCCATTATTTGGGTCCTTGCAGAAACTGGGGAAACCCAGGTAGAGCCTTTTTGGGGAAATCTGCCGAATGAATATAGGATTTAGGATCAGGGTTTAGGGTTTAGGGCTTATAGGGTTTAGGGTTTTAGGATTCACATTTTAGGGTTTAGGGTTTGGGGATGTGAGGGGGTAAATGTTGAGGTTATAAGTGCTTACCTGGATACAGAAAACTCGAGTTATAACCACGCACGCAATATCCCATGGTCTCTTATACTGACTATGGTAGGTAGCGCTAGTCTTAGACTCTGTCGTAACATGCCTAAACCCTAAACCCTAGTAACGCCAGTGTTTTGTGATATCCCGAAACCCTAAAGCCGAAACCCTGGTAACTAGCAACACTAGTCTTTCGTAACATGCCTACTAGGAGCCCGCGAGGTCACAGGTCCAGATGTAGCACCAGTAATGAATCAGGGAGCGTGCTTCTCTGTGTAATATGGCTTCTAGAATACGCATTAACCTGGAATTCCTAGGATAGTCAGACGTCCCGTCCTGTGCCGCCAGGTACACGTCCAACGTGCAAAGGACACTGCAGAGCGCATGGTCATTCCTGTTGGGCTGCGCAGCATGCACTTCATGTTTTGGGTGATCCTTAAGCAAATAGTAGATTATATATGGCCATTACTGTGGCCCTATAAACCCTAAACCTTCATGTAGACTGCTACAAGGTGGGGACCTAAACCCTTAAACCCTAAACCCCTAAACCCTGAACCCCTAAACCCTAAACCCCTAAGCCCTGAACCCTAAACCCCAAACCCTAAACCCTAAACCGCGTAGGCCTGGGTTCGGAAGATCGGGCTGGTGTGGCTGGGTTGCTGTCAAGGAACTTAGGTGATACATCACAGGCCCCAAGGATCCTAGTTTAGGTTTTCGAATAATGGAGAAGAAAATGGAAGCCACCATAGTATCCTAGGGTATATATTTTGGGTAGGGCTTCTATATTTTTGTTTAATAGCATTGTTTGGGCTCTTAGCCCGTATAGAGGAACTTAGATATTTTGGAAGGGTCTATGTCTACGTCATTGTTTAGCAAAAGCCCGGAAGTAGTTGTAAAGGAGCCCAAGTGGGCCCTACGTATATATTATATACCTTCATGAAGCTTTGATTTGAGTTATAAGCTATAATTGGGATTTGTTTTCACTAGCTGGTTAAACCCTAAGCCCTAACGCGGCATTCTCGACCACCTACTTACTGAGGCCTGGTGCCAGGAGCTTCGATTTTCTTCGCATTCCGCCATGGTCTCAGCATTGCGATGCGAGGTTTGGAACCGCTCCAGTGCCATGATTCAGGAAGTCTGTGGTATACAGTACATACTCAAGGCCCAAAAGTTTTTTCCATGTAACTACGTTGGGGCCCGTGTATACAATTCAGCTATATGGACCCTTTGGCTGGGATTGGTCAATCAATCCTCATTGCGGTACCTGCAAGATCTTTCAGAAGGAGTATCCTCGCACATCTTCATACGGCCTAACCCTAAACCCAACCTCCGTTCCCTGCCCCATATCCCTATATGTCCCAGGTATAGTTTGGTTTTGAAAGCCGAGTCCTGGCTGAGACCCTGCAAAGTCAACGTAAAACAATTGGAAGCACGCTTTAGGGCCTAGGGTTAGACACCTCTTCAGAATCCGAAGCAGCTGCTTGATCTATACCCTAGCCCCAAGCCCTGATCCCAAAGCGCCACAACCCGAACCCCCCATCCCTAAACAAAAAAAAACTAAACCCAACTGCGGAAGTTGCCAGCCTTCAGATTTTAAACCCCCGCCACCACGACTAGTGTTGAATGTTCAGGGCTTAGGGTGCCTGACAAGTTGATGAGGGCAGTGCTTTTTATTTGTATGGGGGGGGGGG